GATGCTGATGCTAATGCTGCTGCCGCTGCAGGAGATTATGATGCTGCTGATGACGATTATGATGTTGGTAAAGATGATCAGCATGATGATGCTGCTGATGATGATGGTGATGGTGATGGTGCTGGTGATGGTGATGCTGATTCCGCTGATGATGACGATGATGCTGGTTTTGAGAAGGAGGACGAGGACGAGGACACAGAGGATTGAGAGAAGGAGGACGGCTACCAAGAGGAGCATGGAAATCATTGGAACAAGGAGGGGCACGACGACGAATATGAACAGGAAACGGATGGGAACATGGATTGAGAGGAGGACGACGACGAGGATATGGAATTCGAAGAAAAGGAGGATCTTGAGGAGGAAGAGTAGCAGGAGCAGGATGGATCGAGATGATGAGGATGAGGAGGGGGAATGCGAGAAGAGGAGGAGGAGGAAGAAGGCGGCCAGAGTAAACCCACGATGTCCCAGCGATGCTGTAATTCGCCCACCCTGTCCAAGTCCCTTCACAAGCTCCTACAGGAATTCCTCCTCACTGAGGGAATCTGCCCCATGAAGACGAGTGCCCCATGTTCCTGCTATCCAGGCGAGAGCCCCGTTGTGAAAACGAGCTGACATCCACGCTTGTAACCATGAGGACGGCGACTAGGTATGATCATACTGTGCAAGGTAATCCAGCGAGAGGCCCCACTTTGGGAACGAGCTTCCCCCAACCTGTGAAATCTGTCGTGCCCTCCATCCGTGCAGCCGCTGGAAAGTATTACTAGATCATGCGCGGCGCTAAGGTTAAGTCGGGCCTGTCCCCCTACAGGGGGAATATTCAAGAATAGTCAAAAATAGTTTGGGGACTATTTTTGATTTTTTTTGGGCATCTTTGGAGCATTGTTCGAATATATTGCATGTTTCGTCGAGAATCTTGTAGTGGGACAGGCCCGACCTAACGCCAAGGCGAGAGCCACATTTTGAACATAATCCCCGTCCGTGTGACTGCTGGAAGCTTTCACGGCGAGTCTGTGCGACGCTGAGGCAATAACCGCATTGTTGGAACGGCCCACCTTCCATCCGTGTGGCTGCTGGAAGCCTGTGACACAAACTTGCGCGGCGCTCGGGTGAGAGCCACAGTTGGAGAAGCATCCCCACTCCATCCACCCTCCGTAGACCTCTTGGGGATGTCAAGGGTCGGGCTCGCGAATATAGAGGGGATTCCGTCTCTGGCGGCACGTCCTGTGGCAAGACGGGAAGGCATTCTCGACAAGGGGCCGGAGTGGAGGAGAAGGAGGAGGCGGAGGAGCAGAGCACACCCAGGGTGCATCAGCGATGGCGCAGCACACCCTCCCACCTCGAGCCCCTCCTCCTAAGTGGCTGCAGGCATTCCCCTGCACCCGTGGGAGGCTTCCCCCTTGAAAGGCGAGCGCCCCGCGGGCGTGCCCCGCTTCGAAACAGGAGCTGCCCGGTGTCGTCCAGCGACTGCTGGCGCGAAGGGCAGATGTGACGCCTGGGGGGGGTCTGTGCCGCCGTTCATGTTGCGAGGTCCGACTGCACGTGAATTCGTGCAGGCACTTTGGGCACCTCCCTTCGGGTTGTGCCGCCCAGGTGTTCTGTCTGGGCACAAGCAGCAATAGAGAAGGGGTGGGCCATTTTGTTCGAAGAAGTGCCCAGCGAGAGGCCCGCCGATTCGCCCGTGTGCGGCGCCAGCGCGAGAGCACCACTGCCATAACCACCCGCGCACCTTCCGCGCAACAGTGGCAACATCCAAGCCTCAGGATCACATCGTGAGCGGTGGAGAAGTCTCAAGGATCTCCAGCACAGTGGCACCAAGCCGTTGATGACTATTGTCTGATTGTCTGTAACCGTGTTCCCGCCTTCTCCCTGTTTTCTCCGCCCCCCTCCCCCCCCGCTCTTTCCCCCCCTGTCCTCTTGCATGTTCAGTGTGCGATGTGCGAGTGTAATTGTGCCTGCGGCCCAGCACTGGTCACTGAACAGTGGATGCGACCTGGCGCACGTGCATTCCGCATAAGTCTCTGCACGTTTGTCTGGCCTTCGTGCTCAATCCACTGTGTACCGATGCGCCGTCCAGGCGCGGCTTCTTCCTGTCCTGTCCTGGAGAACTCTCAGGGAAACCGCGTGGCAATCCCTGCGGACGCGTCTGGCGGTGTGAACAGGAGGAGCTATCTAAGAATATGGTTGGATGATGAGACGGCTGAGAGGAGGGGGAGGAGGAGCAATTGGACAAAGGAAGACGGGAGTATGAGGAGGAGAAGGATGAGGAAAATGAGCAGGATGAGGAGGAGGCGGAGGAGGATGATAAGGAGGAGGAGGAGGAGGAGGAGGAGGAGGAGGAGGAGGAGGAGGAGGAGGAGGAGGAGGAGGAGGAGCAGGGGGAGGAGGAGCAGGGGAGGGAGGAGGGGGAGGAGGGAGGGGGGAGGTGGAGGATGAGGAGGAGGAGGATGAAAAGGAGGAGGAGGTGGAGGAGGAGACGGAGGATGAGGAGGAGGAGGGTAGTACAGTTCAAGAAACGGAGGAGGATAATGGGGGGAGAAGGAGGAGGGGAGAGAGAACAACAGTCGGAGGCGGATGAAGAGGGGGAGGACGAGGAAGGAAAGGGGAACAGAAAAACGGTGAGGAGGATGAGGATGAGGGCGAGGATGACGATGATGATGAGGATGGTGCGGATGATGGTGTCAATGATGATGATGATGATGATGATGATGATGATGATGATGATGATGATGCTAAATATGATGACGACGATGACAACTGCGATGGCGATGTTGATGATGGTGATGAACATGAAGATGGATATGACGATGAGGATGATGCTGACGCTGATGATGATGACGGTGGTGATGGTGACGATTAGTATGCTGATGATGGTGCTGCTGCTGATTATGATGACGATGTTGATGATACTGTTGGTGATGATGAAGATGATGATTTTGATGCTGATGATACTGTTGATGACAATGATGATGATGCGGGGGAGGAGGAAGAAGAGGAGGAGGAGGAGGAGGAGGAGGAGGAAACGGCGGAGGAGGACGAGGAGGAGGAGGAGGAGGAACAAGAGGAGGAGGAGTGCGGAGGATGAGGGAGAGAGAGAGAGAGAGAGAGAGAGAGAGAAAAGAGAAAGAGAGAGAGAGAGAGAGAGAAAAAACAAATATAGCGACAAGCAGGAGTGCGTCCAACTTGCCCGAACGCAAACGCTAGAAGAACACAATAACGGGGAGGGGCTGACAACTAACCGCTATCGCGGTGACTTGCCCTCCCTCATCCTTTTGATCCCGTGCTTCTGCAACGCCGAGGTCGGGGGGTGTTCGGGGGGCCCTTGCAGGGCCGCTTGAGCGTTTGAGGGCCGCCACTTTACCCGACTCCCCGACGTGGCAGGCACAGCGTTCACAGAACGCCACGCCATTGACCTCGGCCATCCAATGGCCAAGGTCGTGGAAAAAAGGGCCCCGGCCGCAGGGTCCCGACCCCGAGACGCCGACACCAGAGCCCCCAGGGAAGACCCAGAAGCCCCGCCGCCCGACGGCCCAGGCCCAGCGGCCAGTCCGTCGGGCCCCTCACCCGAAGCCGAACCGACAGCCGCCACCAGGCCAGGCTCGGCATCGGCGGGGGCCGACGTCCCAGACGCCCCTCCGACGGGCCCCCCAGGGGCCACCGTCGAGCCCTCGGGATCCAGGGCGGCTTCCTCAAGCGGCCTGTCGGCAGCCTTCAGCGCCGCACGAGCCCCCTCGGACACAACCAACTCCCACTCATTGGGACCCCGACCAAACACGCGATTCGCTTTCCAAAGGTCGAACGGCGATGGGCGTGCAGCGTGCAGCGGCAGCGGCCAGCGAGCGGAGGCCAGCCTCAGTTCTCGCCCTCGCGACAT